TTTCCCTAGATTTCCCTGAATCTTATATCACCATGAGTGGATGTCGTGTGTTCATCGGCCGTCTGAGCCCTCATGCTCGTGAAAGAGACGTGGAGAAATTCTTTAAAGGCTATGGACACATTCGGGAGATAAACCTGAAAAACGGGTTTGGCTTTGTGGTGAGTATTGGCACTTTCCTGAGGGTCTTTTATGTGTGAGGTGATGGTGAAATCTACATGTCACTGCCCCCTGCTGTCTGATTTTCACAGGAGTTTGACGACCACAGGGATGCAGATGATGCAGTGTATGAGCTGAATGGAAAAGAGCTGTGCAGTGAGAGGTGAGACTGAATCCAGAGCTGCTTACACCATCTGTCTAATGTAGATGATTAGGCTCGTTTCATATTGTATAAGTCAGCATGAAATGAAAATGCACCCTATTTTGTAAATGCATCTTAGAGGTCTTGTACTCTTGTACTGTCATAACTTCCTTAGAGATTTTTCAGTAGGTTCTTGTCAGGTTTTTTAAAAAGTGAAACAAGGTTTGTGGTTAATATAAATTGAGTAGAAATTTTACTCATATGTTAAATTACACACACCCATACTAAAACTGCAGCATTATTCAGTTGAAGTAGTTTGTTTTTATGTATTTCAAGGCATGTTTACCCAATTATAAAACTTTATAGGAAAACCTTAAAGGAACACATGGTGAATTAAGTAGACTCCTAGGATTTGGTGTCACCGCTGCTGCACTCTTATTTTGAACAATATGCATGTGCATTATTTAAAAAAAAAAAGACACTTAAACCCTGTCCCCACAAGCTCAAATTCATTCGCCTCCACTTTTGAGTGCAACGCTCCATCTCAAAATGCAATCAACAACCGATGCATAGAAAGTCCCTGGCCTATATTTCTTTTTCAATCTTTTATACTCGCATGTACGACACAATACACTATTTGAATTTCATCATGGCTTTAATGATTTTTCTCTTAACCCCAGGGTGACAATTGAACATGCCCGCTCTCGCCGAGGAAGAGGCGGCGGCCCAGGAATGGGAGGACGTTTCTCTCCACGCTTTGGAGGCTACCGTAAATCTCACAGTGGGGGTTCCAGGTACGCAAGAATTGTGAGAGCAATCATACGCCATTTGTTATTATGATTATAATTCAAATGAGTTAACCTCTGTCCTTCTCAGGTATGGACCACCCGTGCGCACAGAGCACAGAATCATTGTGGACAATCTCTCCTCTCGTATCAGCTGGCAGGTGAGCGTCCAGAGCTGTAGCAGCAGAGCGGCGTAGCAGCCTTCTGTTGTAGCGATTCATCCCTGCACTACTTTAGCATTTGACATCTGTACAAGCACACAAACAATTAGTTATCTTTATTACTGTTAAACTGGAAGTGTTTTTTTCCTCTTCACCTCAGCCAAACCTTACATAAGTAAAAATGATGATTTTAATGTTGAAAGGTTCTCTAACCCAGACCCATGTTTTTCAAACCTTTTCTTTAACAGCTGTGCTCTGGTATTCTTTAATTGGAGTTGCATGCACAGCCTCCGAGGTGCATAGCGCCCTCCCCTGGTTGTGTTCTGAATAGTGTCCCTGTGGTGCCTCACCCGACACGCAGTGTCTGCCGGTCTAAGTCTTGGCTGGGTCCGTAGCACCAGACAGATCCGTAGCACAGGATAGCCTTAGAGGAGCTGGGTAGCCGCTCTCTGGAGGGTCTGTGATGTCAGATCTGCTCCATCCCCCCCATCTGCTGTTTGGGTCTTATTCTGTTGGTGCTGAAGCGGGGAGGGGGTGCAGGGTTTTGGCCCCTCCCCCATCCTCTCTCTCTGGTGGGGTCCGTTCTTACGGAGGCCGGATGGGTCGAGTCCGAGGTCGTTTTAACGCTTCATTGCTTCCGTTTGCTATTTGGACAAGTGGCTCTTTGCTAATGCCTTCTGTGGTTTGGAACGGTAAGTAGCTCATCACACTGGATAGTCACACGGTAAAGAGGGTTCTGTCATTTTAAATCTGGAGTTAGTTGTAAAAGGAGAAAGATTGCCGGTAGGAAGTTTTGAGACTTGCACAAAATCTAATTAACAAAATGAGAACCTGTTCTCAGGAACTAGCT